ATTGGACTGTGGAAAATTATAAAAAGAAATAGTAGACGAGCAGCAAATCTTAAAAACACTTACATTTCAAGGAATCATAACCAAAGAAGAACATGAAAAAGCTGGTCAAATAATATGATCCTTCCAAAGTGCTATTACTACTATGATTCTTTGACGGCATATCTGTGCAGACATTGAGGCGATGAGAGAATTGCAAAGCACCATGTTTATCATGCTTCCAGACGCTAACTTCACCATCATCCGAAGCAGCTAACAAATGATTCGACTTAGTATGTAGGAAAAATAGTGAGACAGAATCAATATTTAGCATAAATATATGGAAGATATAACGATTAATTCATTAAGTATGTTTTCGAAGCATCATATAGAACCGCCTCGAGAGTTTTAGCGCTTAAGTGGAAGATACTGTTAGAAGGAAATAAGTCAATTCTATTGTTAACATTATGTAGATATTCACTTGTCAATTCTTCAAAATTAAAGGTTAATTGTCAAAGAGAAAGGATGGAATTAAGCTTAATAACAAAGAAAATCAAGGCATTGTTTGCGTTGCTCTATCTGAGATCCAAAAAGATTTTTAATTGATAATTAATCACAGCAATGAGATTCAGGAAGTGCGTCTCGTCCTCTTGTGAACTCGTTAGCTAGATGCATCTGCATTCCAGGGTTGATGTTCACGCCAAGACCCGAACCCAGTACTGTTCGCCTCAGACGCTATCGCGTTATCCACTTACCTACCGAGTATACCTCTGGGGTACAGGAACACACAGATGACCAGTCCAAAATTAGACGAAATGTGCATCCTAAATCTAATTGCCAGACATCATCCATTTCTGGACGTGACGACCGACCTGGTTAGAAAACAATCATTTCGAACTCATAAGATTTTACGAAAATTAAAATTACTCCATTAGCCAAATCAGTTGAGTCAGGGACGCTGTATAAAGTTGACGAATGAAAAAGAGAAATATTTCCAGTTCAGTTATTTTAACTGGACTTACAACACATTCCATAAATTTTATAGGAGATTTATTTGCATCAAATGTTTGTTTCAATTGGAACTTTTTATCAATTATTGCGTAATTATGCAGTAGACTATTACTATCACCAATATACACCGATATACTGATTGTGTCCACACCAAGGAACATACGTAATAAGTGGAAAGAAGTGATTGGAGCTGTTCCAACATCATTGATTAAATGCCATAAGGTTACAGTTCGTTCTAATGGATCGAATTTATACAACGCCAATTGCTGCAATAAAAAATACAGAGGTACATTATTTAATAAAGAAAACGTTGAAAGACTGTAACAAAAGCCATTACTTATTGAGAAATTTTGATGAAAACAATAAGACTTTTGGATAGTAGACTTGTATTTTGGGTGACTAGGCATGTGACAACTGAATGTAACTAGTAACTAATGATGGTATTCACAAGGAGACTCGGACGCATCCATTATTGTCCCTAAAATTATGGCGCTCACTCAATAACAAAAGTGGTGAGACTATGATTTATGGACAAACTAATCACACTCAGGAAAGCGGATTTTCGATTTTGACGTGAAATTCATTTACTTATTTGACTAAACACCATTTTGGCATTATATCTGATGTCAGTTCATGATGAAAACATTGAATCTACTTCATAACCCGAACGTTCAACTGTAAACCCTAATCATAGTTCTTCACACTAATATATAACCCTCATTTAACCCTAGTAAGTTATGATATACACAACAAGAGTTAACCGGTCCCAGTGCTAGGGTGATCACAAGAATAATCAAATATTATTGGAGTTGCTAAAATCTCTTCACGAACAATAAACGCTTGCACATCCTTCTCTAATTCGATTTCCCGCATAACCTTTGACCGATTGTTTTTCATAGCTTTTAGCTCCCTAAATTTCTATATGCATGAAGCTCACATTTTCTACTTTAGGAACAACAGTTGCACCAATTCGTTCTGTGTTGCTTGTTCTACCTCGAATACCAAGTTCCCTGCAATCTGTCTTTCTCCCGTGTTGGCCATCGGGGTTTTGATGTATTGTACGTAAACGGCCGTCGTTGATTCGAAAGGGAACCGATCGTATTAGAGAAGCAAAATCATTTTTCTTCCTAGATCCGCAAACATTGTAGGCCCGTACGAAACCCCAGGAACAAGATGCAACATCCTGTTAACAAGTGGGTTCCTTGAGTGCAACACTAGATATTGTTTATAACTATGAGTTGACTAGATGTTCAAATAGTGACGAGTAGTAAAATCCAGAATATCAAATATCCAGACATTCATTCAATAGAGACTCATCTAGTTATAACCTCTACAAGCTATAATAAAAATAGTAGAGAACATACTGAATTTTTTACCTAAACCATTCAAGATAGTCAATTCATTACCAAACTTTCCAGTAATAGAACATACAATAAATCAGTTTTTCGACACACATTGGAAATAACGCTCTTCAGATTAACAACAGAAAGATGTGCTTAATAAGAAAGATAAGTTATGTGTTGATAACATATTTACTGTAATTTGGTTTATTCAATGTTGTCATAAGAAGCTAATCATTTGTGATGAAAAATAAAACACAAAAAGTTATTAGTCTGTTGCGTAATGATCAAATCACAATAGAGGAAAATATTTTGTAACTAACTAAACACAAATTTTCTGATTTCAAACAAAATTATTGTTCTCAATGAATAATAATCTCTTCAATAAACAAGTTATAATACGAATAGAAAACTGGATGAGGTTTCATAACCAACATCCTTTGGCTTCCAGCGATTGTATACTGCATAATGCTACAATTTTATAAGAACCATCCATATAATCAATGACTTATGATGATATTTTAGGGTCGGTTACTATGTTAAGCACATATAACTGATTCTAGCTTCTGGACATGTCAGTTTATCCATTCTTCTTGAGTCATAATTTGACCGTGTTCATTATTTATTTATCAAGCTTGACTGCTTTTATATGAGGGTGTGTGTGTACCCTTCTTATCCTATTCATCACATATTTGTAACCTAGTTTTATCTAGCTACAAATATTGATTAACGCTTGATTAAATGGAGTTAGCATACATGCGTCCTCCACTGAGCATCATTTCGACTCAGTCTCTTCTCTTCGTCCCTCTGATCGCATCTCCAGATCAGTGAGTGAACAAAATATATGTGTTCCAAATCCATTCTCCTATTTGACTTATTTAATTTCGTCATCCATTAACGCGATTTAAATTGATAATTATTCGCGAGAATAGTCAGGATGTATATTTCAACAGCAATCATTCAGTAACGATCATTCGTCCGATCTAACTGGAGTCAGATCCCGGGTTAACAAATTGCAACCGATATTTCTTTAAAATGCAACAAATTTCATGACTATTCCAAACACGTGATGGAGAGGAGCCTAATAAACTGGTCAGTATGGAAGTAATCACTCCATACGACATCACTGATTAACACGTTATCGTTGGATCGGTGGTTATTCACCTGGATCATCACATTCGTAGACATTCTCGACGAGGAATCCAGGAAAGATGTTACTCGAACGGTCGAACTCTTTTTTTCAGTGACTGAAAGTTGAGTCCATGAACCACTTTCCTAGTGAGTTCAGAAATCCGATAACCTGAATAAATAAATAATTTCCTTTGTCAGACAATAACACATGTTTTAATGATTTGCACACTTCACCTAAATGGTTTCACTCAAATTTTATTTCCCAACAGAGAAGCCAGTTTCTACTCCCATATTGCTAAGTAAACATGGATTACCGGAAAATCAGTCAGACCAAACAATATTTTACACAGACATATGAAAGAAGAAATACAAACAGACTTCATTTGAGTTTTTTCCACCTAGGAAACCGACAAAAAGTAATATTTTATGGCGACCACTTAAGATTTAATGTAAACTCAGAGACTATAAATGTCAGTGGAACACGTTCACAATTAGGAACTCATTAGTTGTAGAGGTTGGAATTTTCAAAACAACCAGCTACAACTAAACTGAGTAAACGGTTTCCTAAAACATGAAACTTATTTTTCAGTATAGATCAACAACTGGATAACATAGTTATTTAAATATTATCAAACACAAGTACTGTCATAGAAATCTCAGCCTTATCAAATAATAATGTAAACAACCGTATGCATAGCTTACTCTGCTTTTAGAAGCTGTCGCAAAAAATTTGCTATCCATACTAACAGCGATTACTGCAGAATTGTGTTCTTTCAGGCAAACAGATTTCTTAATTTTACTACCAGTTTGTCGACCAATAAAATGAACCCATGTCTCAGCATTCCCACCTCCAGTAACAGCTACACAGAAGTCACTTGCAACACATAATGTCCCTTCATTTTCCCGCACTCCACCATTCACATTATGATTTATACAATGTGACCATAAAGTATCAACGAGTTGGAATTGAAGCTCTGACATGGCATTTGCCGACTGATACACATAACGATCTTTGTATGGACTAACTTTTGGTCTTAAAATGCATAGGAATATCTAAAAGAAAGTGTAGTTCGAAAAGACGAATAAGCAATGCAAACTCGTTACATTTCAAGTCATAAATATGAGTGTAATGGTATACAATCAACTTCAATAAATCACCAATTAATAAACAAAAGCATCAATTTTCATTTTGTGGATCACTTAAATTGCACAAAATTAAAAATCAACTACTATTCAGTTGATATTATAATGAATGATCGAGTTTAAAAGAAATCCAGTTTACCAGTTAGGTTACCACAACTACCTAAAAACCACATAAATTCTCGGTGAGGTTATGCATCACTTGGGAAGTGTAACAGTCACAGTGATTGGCATAACATGTAGAATAACGATTTTTTCACTCAGTTGCAACGTAAAACCTGGTATGCAAGTAAACCGAGTTAAGTCGCCATTTTCGTGGGGCAAGGTGAGATGTGATGTTATCAGGGTCGATCTATTTATTGTGAGATGGTAGCGATGTTTGCAGACGCTAGCTACCGAAGAGGAACACTCTACTGCTGACACTCTTCTACAGTCAGAAGTACGACTTTGCCTTAGGACCTTCATTTTTTACTTTTAGTTTTACTGTGTCCTAATCGACCTGGTTGGCATGGTGTAACCTAAAGGACCAAGTGTTTCAGCCGATACACTTCGATTGGATCATCACAACAACTAGCCCCGACCACAAACATCAAGGTGGAAGCCACAGTCAGAGTTTTTAACAATACACTGATCAATATAAAGAACATTTATGATTCATTTATACATAGTAATCAACGAACTTTATACTCATTTGTACAACCTACTCGTACAGCACCAGATGCATAACCAACAATAATATGATATGCATCATATGCTGAAAAAGATCTTGCACAACTACTTGTAATACACTGGATAGACGAATTATCTTCTGTTGCTGCTTTCAAATAATGAATTAATCTACCGTCAAACACACGAATAACAGTCAGATCGCCATTACTCCAACCTATTAAAGCATGTTCGTAAGTAGGCAATATTGTCAAACAAGTTACACATATAGGATTTCCTGAACCTATTTGAGGTGGTTTTACATCAATCCATGGACCTATGGAAAAAACAAGATAAATAAAGTGAACGAAAATGGATAAGGCTCTTTTATGTTAATTACAACTGGTTGATAAATATGATAAAAAAATGTACAAATGTCTTCAATAAGAAGAAATCAAATCCACCATAGATTTGCAATTTAGAAATGAAGTAAAACTGTAAACTCATTATCAAAGTAATAAATTATATATTTTTAACAGACAGTGAATCTGAGTGACTCGGGATCGAATCGCTTGAAGTAAATCAATTCCCACAAAGTTACAGGTATTCCTTGCTAACCAGTGTCGAATAGCACGAAACCCAGGTTCATGATTTCCTGACGTCTACCTCCAACTTTCTGATACCTCGACATAATGAAAGCGATGTTTGGTCACTCAGACTAGTGGCAATACTGCAAACTAATCAAAAGTATTCGATCAGTACTAGAAAACTAAACCGTACAGGTCCTATAAGAATTCCTCCATAAGGCTGTTAGAGGTTAGGAAAGGACTGAAAATAATTTGTCTAATCAGCATATACTAAGAAAGCCTCTAAAATATTCGTGGATTGTATGTCATACTCTTATTACAAGATTTCTTACTCTGCTTACGGAGTTATTTAGAGGTCAGAAGTTACCAATAAACCTAGAAATACAGTTGTTTTCTGTACACTCATGAAGCTTAAATTAAAGGTTCTTTGTTTACTTCATACTCACTTCTTACAGTTCAGGGCTCAAGTGTAGGCGTATTCTGTGAATCTAGGAAGCGCCTTCGATGTCATTATCGAGCATTCGAATGGCAAATTGATTATATACAAACATCAACAAACAATTGTAGGATTTTTATTATTTCCAATTCTGTATACTGATTGGTATTCATTGAATAACTGCATTACATAGTCAGAATCATACTGTCGAATCAATATTTATTAAACATATTACTTACTTACTTACTTACTTACACCTGTTACTCCTAATGGACCATAGGCCGTCGACCAACATTCTCTAACCCACTCTGTCCTGGTCATTCTTTTCTAGTTCCATCCAATTCTTGTTCATTTTACTCATGTCTATCTCCATTTCCCAGCGAATTCATGAGTCAATTGAAGCTAGACCGCCATGGAAAATCTGGAAGCACTGGACGGCTGTTTCGCTTTAGTATGGGACTCCTCAGCATATTTAGGAAACAGTGAAATTAGAGCGAGATATACATTCACATAACAGGAAACTTCTATCTTCGCTCGCCAATCAACCAATCACAGCTCAGATAATTATTACAGACCAAATAGCAGTAAATGATGTGCGGAATGAAATAAACATTCAAGCTTGACAAATTCATTTATTTATTTTTAAAAGAGGCAAAAGTATTGCTATTCCAAAGTACAGAAAACTAAAGTTAACACTTACCAAAGGTTCCCCATAGTCCAGTATCCCATATATTAATGTAATTATTCAAAAATTGGCCACCACCTGACTGGAAAATGTACTGACCATTTGGTTTCGAAAAGCATATCTTCCCATATTGGTTTGGAATTAATTGATCAGTTTGATCATATGGAAAATATTCAATTGTAAAACAAGAGTATTCTTGTATTAAACCACCTTGATACCAAAGTATGTCATCGTTCCACAGCATTAATACACCATCTTTATCAAACGTTGCTAATATATTCCCTCCATTTGGTGAGTAGGCGAGTGAACAAAGTGACGTTGATGCAGATAGCGACTATTGATAAAATTAAGAGACAAAAATATGAATGGCTGATATAGAAATCTACCACTGTCAACGAATTATACACTCTGCATATTAGGAGTAGAGAAACTACTCGATTGGTCAAATCAAAGTGGAGCATGGGGTGGACACCAGAATTAGTGGTTAAAAGTCGGACGCCTTCACCACTGAGCCACCACTCTACAAACAACAACACAACGTAAGATTTGTTAACTTACCCTCACGATAGATAAGGAAGATAAATTGTAGAAATGTATTGTACCATCCCAACACCCTATAGCCAAATCATCATGTACTAAGTATTCTTGTTCATTGCTTAAAACAGATGGCAATCGGAATGCAATTGAAATAATCGGATAACTGGATACATTTATTGACTTAACTGGATGAAGCTTTACAGAACAGACACTTGTCGATAGATCACTGGATTTAACATCAATTTCTGAAACATCCCATAAGTAAACCATACAGTCTAAATCACCAGTAGCAACCAGTCGACGTCTAGGATGCCATGCAGAAGTAGTTACACATCGACGATGATATCCACATAACGATGCCAATTGTGAAATCACTGTTTTGTCATGCACTTTAGACCCAACATTGTGAATCACGGTAGACGCATCCCAGATATAAACATCACCATCTTCTGAGGCACTCATTAACCGAAGTTCTGAAATGAACTTTTCGGGAGATTTTATGTTTTCAGGTTTACTGGGGAATCCGTCAAGGAAACATAAACTTTGAACGCTTGAACGGTGTCCAGTTAATGACCACAGTTCCTGAAATAAAGTAACAAAGAGACTTTTCAAATTAAGGAACTAATAATAACAAAAACAGACTGATCGTTAAGCCTCTTATGTGAATCAGAAAAAATGAAAGAATCTGTTCCATGTTCGAACAATAGAAATTTACAAGAGAACTCACACGCATAGTGGACAATTCTATGAAAGTAATCGTACCACACCTAGTTCCATACACCAATACTTTAGCAGTTGAATTCATTTCCACAGACGTTGGCACATCCATGGAACCATTTGAAGTCACAATTGGTTTATATGTCATATTCCTCTGCATAGGTTTGATCAATGTGCATTTTGGTGAATTTACACGGAAGAGTATTTGACTATTGTTCATGTTTAATTGCCTTTGTATACTGAAATCATTAAGATACAACAATGAGAGGCCTAACATATGGATCCATTCACTGGAATCTTGGTTGATAGCTAATTCACAAAACGAATTCGGATATCTATCGAGTAAGAGAATAAAAGGCCGCATTTTAGACAACAATAGTAATATTTATATGTAATAATAAGAATAATTTAACTTATGCAAGACCCGTATATTTGTTTCAGTCTATATCGATATGAAGTTGGGAATAGTTGAAAAATGTGCTTAGGAGAGAAAAGATTTCGGTCTGACTATCAGTGTCAGTTAGTCAGTCAGTCAGCTACAACGTAGGACCAGGCACATATGTGCATCGGTCCAGGTTGCCATACCTCATTAGCACAGCAAGATGAACACCGGATTCATAGGAGTGGTTAGGTCAAAGGTTGCAATAAGGATATAGTATAGGAAGAAAGAATTAGTTCGTAGAAAGAAAGATATGAAGTGATTTTAATCTCTTAGTTTAAGGGAAGACAGGGAGTGTATACACCGACGCCATTGTGATCGATTCTGAGCCATGTCACCAAGAGTCTCCAACCATTGGTTACGAAAGTCACGCGGACCCCAACCAAGTAGTCTGCATCTACCAACATGGCTCAGACTAGAAGTAAGTGACTTCAGGCACTGATGCCACGTTTTGGTTTGGCCGCCCCTAACTTTCTTCCAACCATCCCCTACACCGGTTAGCATTGCACGTCGTGGTAATCGGTGTTCAGGCATACGTAATACGTGGCCCAACCATCTCAGTCTATGAAGATTCATAACCTCATCAACTGATTTACCATCATTCCCTAATACCCTGCGTCTAACCTCACTATTACTTACCCGGTGATCCCAGCAGATGCCAGCAATATTTCTAAGGCATCTGTGGTCAAATACTAGTAGCTTACGGGTGTCTTCCACTCTTAATGGCCATGTTTCGCTGCCGTAAATTAAAACAGAACGAACTGCCGCGCAGTATACTCGTCCTTTTATTGATAGACGGATATCTCGCCTCCGCCAAAGGTGACGTAAGTTGGCAAAAGCCAAACGAGCTTTTCGAATCCGTGTTGAGATTTCGTCAGACACCAACCCATTAGGGCTGATCAGACTTCCAAGATAAGTGAAGTTGTCGACGCGTTCGACTACTTCACTCCCTATCCTTAGTTCAGGTGTTGACGCAGACCAGTCCTGAAGCAACAACTTGCATTTAGAGGGAGAGAAGCGCATCCCAAACATTCTGGCATTGTTGCTTAGTGCTACCAAAAGACTCTGCATTTTGTCAGCGTCTTCACCAAACAGGACTATGTCATCTGCGTATTCTAAGTCGATAAGTGGACCTCCTGGAAGGAGATCAATACCCGAGAATTCAGTCGACGAGAGTGTTATTTCCATCAATAGGTCTATGATGAAGAAGTTAAACAAAAATGGAGAAAGCGGACAGCCTTGACGGACACCACTTGAGGTTGCAAAAGTAGATGACAGTTCGCCATAAGCTCTGACTCGACTGGTAGTGTTCATGTAAAGAGCCTTCACAAGGTTTATGTACTTCTGAGGTACGCCTTTCAATGACAGACTGCCACAGAATCTCGCGGTCTACCGAGTCAAATACTGCTTTTAAGTCAAGAAGGACCACCATCGTCGGACGCCGATAGGTATGCCTGTGTTCTAGAACCTGACGAATGGTGAATATGTGGTCGATGCAGCCACGACCAGGTCTAAAGCCAGCTTGGTCCTCTCGAGTTTGTAGTTCACGAGTCTTAGTTAGGCGTTTGATAATTATCGAGGCCAGTATCTTAGATACTATGTTTGTTAAACTAATCCCTCTGTGGTTGTCACAGGATTATTTTGACCCTCTCTTATATATTGGGACGATAAGTGATTGTGACCAGTCAGATGGAATAACGTCTAACTACCAGATCTTAGCTCAAATATTAGTCAACCTAATCGCTAAAATTGGACCACCATCCTTAAAGACCTCTGGAGCCAATCCATCTGGACCAGCTGCCCTTCCTCGTTTCAGATTAACTATAGCCTTTTGAACTTCAGCAAGAGTTGGGGGACCTACTTCAATGTTCCATTCACACTGTCTGGGAATAGAGGGTAGTTGTACAGTAGCTGAAGGCCAGCTGAACTGTTCTCTAAAATGCTCCGCCCATCGTTCTAAACGCCTGGACTGGGAGCAGATGAGAGTATCATCTTTTTCCGAAATAATCTCACTTACACTTGACTTATTATTCCAGTTTCTTTTATTAGTCTGTAAAGCTGTCTTGTGTTCCCTATAGTCGCCGCCTTTTCCATCTCTTTTGCTTTCGTTACCCACCACTGCTCACGGTCGTTCCCTAGACTTTTTCTTAACCTAGATCTGATTTGTTTTCGCTCTTCATCATGTTCAGAACCTGATGGGACGAGTTTACGAGAATCCATCAGTGTGACAGACCTTGAAGAAATCCACTGGTTCCTTGCAACTCTGTGGTTTAAGTCACTAATAGATGTCACTGCTGTTTCCACAGCTGATTGTATGCCCTTCCAAGCAACATCTGGGTCAGCCTCGTCTTCACAACTACCTAAGTGTGACCTCAGTTGTTCCTGGAACCTACTTTTGATTTTCTCGTTACTCAACTCAGTTCTGACGGGTCTTTTTAATGTGGCTTTTTTGCGTCCAGTGAGGCGCAAGCAGATGCGTGCCCGTATTAGGGCATGGTCGGAGTCCAAGCAGGTACTCCAGAATGAGCGACAATCTTCTACCGACCCTCTCCAACGATGACTGATGGCAATATGGTCTATTTGAGTCCATCGTTGGTTTGGTGTAGGGGGTCGCCATGTTAGACGATGTCTCTCCTTATGCTTAAAATTTGTGTTTGCTAAAAATAAACGATTGTCTGAGCATAGCTGCAGCAGACGATCACCATTATCTGTTCGCTGTGTCGGAACACTGAAATATCCACCTAAATGCCTATCTGTTTGGTTTAAGCTACCTATCTGAGCATTAAAATCACCTGCTACGAGTACTATGTCTGAGCGTTTAGCTTTCTGAAGAAGTTCGGACAGCTTTCTGTAAAATTCATTTTTCACTTCATCTGAGCTGCAGTCAGTGGGAGCGTCGGCAGAAACGACAAAAAGGCAACGACGTGTGTCCCTATCCTTCCGAGTTCTTACGTAGCCGTTCAGCCGAACGGCACATAAACGACTGTTGACGGGGATCCACTCTAGCAGTGTTTGTTCCGCCCTCATGCTTAGTGCTATGCCTACACCTGCCAGTCCACGAGAACTTGCCATCGGGTCACCAGATACACGAAGGGTGTATCTTGTTGGCTCTCCGTTTTGCCGAGGTGAGGTCAAGTGAATAACCACACTGGAATCCTGTATGCGTGTTTCGGAGACACAGCACACGTCAATGGTAAGAGACTCTAGGGTTTTAGCCAAGGAAGCCTGCTGACAGATTTGACATAGGGTTCGTACGTTGAAGGCTCCAATGTGTAGTTTGGAGCGAGGTTTCAGTAGACCTGGGACAGTATTTTGCGCACTAGAATCGTTGGCTATGGTGACACTTGAGGTGGAAGCCGAGAGAGGAAATTTAAAGTTGAAAGTCGATGTAGGAGGAATAATAGGAATTGAAGAGGGAGGTTGATTATGAATACAGTGGTCTTGGGTGCTGTTAGAGGCATGAGGGCGGTTATCACTTACCGGTTGCCCACATCGTGGAAGGGTTCTTCTGGAGGTACCTGAAAAGGAAATTGGATTAAAGGTGGTCTTAGTGACCTGAGAGCGTGACCGCAGTGCCCAAGGGACAACTGCTTGAGGCCGGTCGCGCACGGCCTTTTCGTAGGAGGTTTTTGACGTGTTAGCTCCGTTCTTCAAAGGGCCTTACCGTCGGAGACGGAAATCCGTGAGGTAAGGTGAGGTGTGCATTTTTAGGGTCGACCTTTTCTAACCCCACCCCTCCTTGTGGGAATGCAGCATCGCTGTCATGCTGGTTGTCTGAAGGAAACACCTTACTGCTGTCACACCTCTGTACAGTCAGCAGTACGACTTCGCCTTCGGACCTTGGGTTTGTTGCTTTTAGTCTTACCGCTCTTCAACCGACCTGTCTGACATGGTAGGACCTTGAGGAACGGTTGTTCCAGCCAGTATAGCTCGGTTGCTTCATCACGATAGGCAAGCCCGACCACCACGTCAAGGTAGCAACAACGGTCGGGTACTATCAGTGTAGCATTTTCAAAGTGACCGAAACCATAGAAACAACGCTGCATATAGCTTATTTGTTATAAGAAGTTGAGTGTACAGGTCTTCACACAGTTTAGTTATAATTCACATTCATTTGACGTTGTTACAACATGATGTTCAATTCCTTTTGTCACCAAATACTTGTTTGAAATCGGTGTTTACAGTAAACACATTCGATACTGAATATCAAAAACATAAACATTTACTAATCTAAAACTTGTGCATGCTCAAGGTTTACATAACTTTGAGCAATATCAATTTAAGAAGGAAGTGTTGTTTCCTAATTCGCAAAATTTAAAGTAACTACTGAATGGAGTAAATCATCAATCCGATTACATTCCAATCCGAATGTTCACGTTGTAATGCACTTGATAGGTGACGCAAGATGATGTACTGTAAATACAGACATCAATCAGACATCCTAATTAACGAACAACCGCACTCTCCATACTAATTTATTTCAGAATATCTACTTTGAACAAGTAGTACAATAAACCCTGATACAATAACTGTGCGTTACAATTGTTCACGAATATTTACATGGTTAATTAATGATATACATAAATATGAAACTTACTTTACTAAAAATTCATAGTTTACACAAACAAACGTTTTCATCGCATCAATTTTGTCAATAAAAGGACATAATTCCAGTTTCCTTTTCCACTTTTCTTGTATACATCGATCAGTCGTAGCTGCGAAAACAAAATTAATTCGAACACAATTTAATTAGTAATGACTAAAATAATTTACGAATAAAAACTGGATTTTAACAAAAACTTGGGTTGTCGTTAGATTCTAACCAATCGCTTTCTTTGGACAATCCATTCAAGTTGTTGATCATAGAACAGCCTGAAAAAGATGTTTTTATTTGTGAGTTGGCTAGAGTACACCCAAATTAAACCAGTGTCTAATAGTCGCACTTTTTCAGGAGATGTTGTAAAAATTGCCATCAGTCAGCGACATAAACATACTTTGAAACAAAATATTAGCATAATGAACATATATTTTGATAAGTATTGCTAATTTGAACGCTTTATTCGGTTCCTAAGCTATTCTGGTAACCCGAAAGCTAGAACTACGCAGCGAACTGAACACGATAGATAAGGCGCAAATTAAGCGAAAAGCACTTTACTCCGAAGGTTCATTTTTGTACAGAAAAACACGAGTATTTATAGATTTTTAGCATTTGTCAAATCAACATCATATTTTGGCTAATCCGCTAAGAGACATTATGCTACTGACCAATATTAGCATACCACGTTAATATTCTAGAAAGCTCACTCATGCTCTGATTGGCTGAAACTCTTCAGCTCCTTTAGGGTCTCCGGAGGCTCCGTTGAAGTTCTCCGAAGCCGACTCAACATATTTATTTGAAAAATCCGTAAAATTATCCAAATTAGGAAAATCACACTTACGATATCCATTGAGAAATCTCATCAATGTTGACGGATATTCACTTAAAATTCTGCATATAAACATGGGACTTGTGAGCAAATGACAAATAATATCCAATTCATCAGCATACAACTTGAAAAGAAAAACACAAAACATTACGAACAAGGCATAAACAAAGAATCAGGAAGTGAACAACTACTGTTGTTTCAGCACAGTTTTTAACTTGTCAACAATTAGTCGTCACAACATCCTATTCAAAACAGAATTCAATGTTTTCACATTTCATTCATCATACATTAATATATCATGCTCAATACATACATCTACATACATTTAAGGAATCATTGATCCATTTCAATATCGGAACTTCCAAAACAATAAAACTATGGAGAAAAACATGTTCAGTGTTCAACCAACGTTTACAAAGCTCTAATAAAGAGTCTCCATGATAGATGTCACATCGACTTCACTTTATGGTGCTTCAATCAAAAAAACATATGAGGACAACAGTTAACTGACCATCAACGCTGTGTTTCTTAATGGTCTAGCACTTTATGAACATTGTGTAGACACCGAAATTTCAGTCAACTATGTACTTTGTCATTACACTCAGCTAACTAAACTGTCAACTAAAAAGTCTGAAGTAGAAATTATAACATTCAATCTTTCATATGGGTTACAGATCATAGTCAAATATTACCCAAAACCAGTAAACTTATCACTAAGTTCTCTTGCAATCGGAAATTAACATTTGAAACAATTTTCAATAGAATTCAGAAAACAGTCATGCATTCTAAAGCATCAATGGTTTCCTGTTGATCTGAGAAATAAAATCGAAAGGTGAGTTGTTGATTTGTGAACTGCATTATCACCAATCATAAGTTATTCGGTGTGTAATAAATTGTAATATCTTCATTGAATATTATGAACATGAATGACAGATTTGATTGTACAATACACATTCAGTCGTGTCACTAAAACTCTCCCTTCTTCAATCTATTCAATTACGCTTCAAGTATTAGGTTTATGGCTAAATTTTCAGCTTAACTACCTCAAACATCAATCACATTTTTCTTCATAACACACATAGCACAAAGTAATTTGATGCTTGCCATCATCAACTGATCAACCTTAAACAACCAATGAAAAACTAAGAAGCATTGAACAGTTATTTCATCGCACTATCAAGCTCTTCAACAGTGAACATACACGATGTGTGATTACAGTCAAAATCGACTTACAAAATGATAAAGTTTATCATCCAAATCTGACAAAACAACAGCCAATATTTTGTGAATAGTAGCATTAAAAGTATACTCTGAGTACATATAATTTCCATGATTTTCAAAAAATTTATTGAATACTACTTCTTCAATCGAGTGACTTAGAAATGATAAATTCTCTGCACCTAAATTCCATAATTCAATTTTCCTATTCAATGTCATCTTTTCAGTTGAAATAACATTACTATTATTACTATTACTGCCATTGGATGTGCTATTGAAACAGTGCAATGATTTATTGAAAATAATCATTAACGGACGTAATCTACTGAGAAGAATATGAAATGCAAGTGGAGTTAAATGTAATCGTTTTGATTTGTCTAAAGCACACAAATTGTTTGTACATTTTGACAGAATAAATCTGTCAATGTTACTTTCAAGTGCACATATAGATTCTAAATCATTCGGTTTATCCTGTATGACTGAAAGCATTTTCCATGGATTATTCTCCCAATTCATTTCATATTTTTCATTGATATTTTGTGTAGTAAAAAGCCATTCATTGAGTAGAATTAAAAGTTCTTTACTTGACAATGAGTGACGACAGAAGACTAAAAAGCCCAGTGTTGCAATAATCAAGTCATTTTTATATTCAACTTCAAGATTTTTAATGATCTCATCTATTAACTGATCAATTGTGCCAGATAACATTTTCAGATGAGATTTCACCTAAACAATCAAAATGAAAGCATAAATAATTTATAAGCAGAGATTTACAGATAAATGAAGTTAGAAAGATCACGATAGTTAAACTCCAGAGTGTATGCAAATATGTAGCAATCTATGGGTGAATACGTTTAATCAGTATCATACGGGTAACAACAATCATGTTTCCCATCAAATGAATTTAAAGTTTGAAGTTCGATCTTGACAAAAATTATTAGTTCCACTGAAGATGAATAATTGAAATTACATCCATAAAATGGAAATAGCTATTCAACAATTTTAAATGTTTCAGTTTGGGAAGGACAGGAGGCTCGATGGTCTATGTTAGTCCTGGCAATGGTGGTCTTTCAGTTGATCCAACTTTCTTTTGAAAGAGTCGACGGATGGAGCCTCAACTACGTGCTGAGGTAGTAAATTCCACTCGTTGATGATTCGATGGGAAAGTTGATAGTCAGCTGACAAGTAATTTGTTCTCGGCTTATGAACTTTTTTGGAGTGTCCTCGTAAATTCTCTGTTTTGGAAGACAAGAAAGATGAGGGCATATCAGGTGCAAATTTATCACTAAGCAATTTGTAGACTGTAATCAAGTCGCCTCTAGTTCTGCGATATGACAACGGGAAAAGGTTCAGCTTGGCCAGTCGAGATTCATATGGAAGCTTAGCTATTCCGGGAATCAGCTTAGTCGCCGTTCTCTGAACCTTTTCCAGAAGCTCACTATCTTTTTTTAAGCAGGGGCTAGCCGCTTGTATGCAGTACTCAAGTTTAGGACGAACGAACACTGTATACAAAGTCAAAAACGTTTTAGCGTCGACATGACTAAAAGCTCTACGTATTGACCATAACGTTCCAAAACCTTTGGAGGCTATTGCACGGCAGTGTGCAGTAGTCTTTAAGTCTTGACTAACGATAACTTCTAAGTCATTATATGTCTGGGCGACAGGTAGCTCAGTGTTATTCATCGTGTATGTATCTGTGCCTTGATGACCGATATGCATCACAACACACTTGGAAGTATTTATCGGCAACTGCCATGTTTGAGACCATTCAGATAACTTCTTCAGGTCATTTTGAAGTTCTAAGCTATCACTCTTACATCGTATCGTTCTCCATATCTTGACATCGTCAGCATATAGCAAGACCGATGATGATAGGAGACAAGGAAGGTCATTTACATACAAGAGGAATAGCACTGACCCCAAAACTGTACCCTGGGGCACTCCACTAAGCACAGTTTCCCAGCTAGATAACTTTGAGTTCACCCTTACTCTTTGTTGACGCCCAACTAAGAAGCCTTTTATCCACATCAATAAATTGCCTCCAATCCCGACTTTTCTTAACTTATATAACAGCCGGTTGTGCGGAACTTTGTCAAAAGCTTTACTGAAATCAATGAGGGCGACGTCTACAGGTAGCTTTTGGTCCTTAAGAGTGCATCAGCTTTCACGAGCCACTAATAAGTTAGTGAGACAAGAATAACCTATTCTGAAGCCATGCTGCTTCTCCGAGAGGATCCGGTTTTTATCGAGATACTTAAACAGCTCCTTCCAAATAATCTTTTCTAAGATTTTAACAACCACACTAGTTAGGCTAACGGGGCGGTAGTTCTCAGGTTTGTGTTTCGTACCTGTTTTGAAGACAGGACTTACTATGGCGTTTTTCCAGTCTTTCGGTAAACGACCCTGCGTAACGGATATGTTAAAGCATGTACTTAAAGGGCTTGCAACGAAGTTAGATAATTCCTTCAGTAGCCTAGGATGTAATTCATCGGGCCCCGTGGATTTACCTATGTCAAGCTTATTTAGCAGACCAAAGACATCGAGCTCTTTAATGGTCACGCTATCCAGTGTATGTATGGGGGGATCTGTATACGCTGACGGGAAGGGCGCTTCTATGGTATTTACGTTGCTAAAGTAGTTCGAGAACACTTGAGCCTTACCAAAGTCGTCCTTCACTAATGATGAAGCAGTACTGTCTCCCCATAGAGCAGGAATATTTCCTTTTCTCCTTGTCCTTTGGTTTATATAGGAATACAAGCGTTTAGGACATTCTATGGATTCCTTAACAAGTTTTCCTTCGTACAATTTTATAGACTTACGGAGGGTCGAGGCACAAGTATTCCGAGCCTTTCGATACTGAGATTTTGACTCATCAGTCCCCAGTAACCTAAATCTATCCCACATTTTCCTTTTCTTACGGAGAAGAATACGGACCTCCCTACTGAACCATGGTGGTGAGTTTTTCGGCCCCTTTGGTATAGTCTAAGGGATGTGAGGTGTGGTAACTTTTAAGTATGAATTTCGAAATGCGTCCCAGGCCGTTTCAATGGAGGACCCTGGGTCTATTGTCCAATCTATTAACGATGCTGAGTGCATGATGTCTGGTATGTTTGCTTTCCAGACGTTGGGTCTGGACTGGACTGACGCGTCCTCGTGACTGGCAGTTATATGGAAGTCGAAAGTTAAAACTGCGTGGTCACTTTTACCTAGGGGTGGCATATGATGGAGGTTCGCAACATCATCCTCATAATGAGTCAGCATAAGATCTAATAAGGTTGATTCAGTGTCCGGATCGTACCTTGTCGCTTCTTTCACATGTTGCACTAGAGCACATGTGATAACCCCATCAACTAGTTCCTGCTCGAAAGAATTCTCCGACGATTTAGTTCGCAGATTTTCCCAGTCTACCTTAGGTGCATTGAAGTCCCCTAGGATTAGACATCGACCACTTTGGGACCAAATATTGAGACTGCTTAACAGGATCTCATTTGCCTCACAGCTTGGACTGCGATAGACCAAACCAATCAGCAGCTCTTGTCCCTTGCATTTTCAGCGAAGACTAACTAATTCACACGTCCCACTCTCATGGGATACACTATCGATAATGGCAAATGGGATAGCATTCCTAATGAATAGAGCTACTCCCCCTCCTTTGCGCTTTTGTGTTCTGTAACATACTACCAAAAGCTAATTGAGCGATTACAGACAGCGAAAAGTAGTATATCCTCAAATGTATATAATGGAAACATTGATCCATGTCTTTTGACAACCTCACTAACAACAACAGTCTTTAGGAGCAGATTGTGAAGATTATTGAAACTCGTCAGGTGGATGTACCAGCATCCTAGTGTTGATCGCTATATCGGACGATCAAAATTCAGTCCAAAACATCAACAACGGGATAATTCAAGTCCCTATTAAATCACGATTATATTAAAACTTCATGATAATGTACAAACCTCATCATGACTTCCACATAATTGTAGATATTTGCAAACCATATTGAAATACGATGGATTATTTGACTCACAAGCTGAAATTAGTAAAGCGATCTAAAAAGTAGTGTAAAAGAAAGTATAAGATAGAGGATAAAAGGGGATTTTCAAATTTCTTCATAGGAAAATGAATATTTTATGATTTACACTTATATTACATGACTACCTTTTATCACATAACAATTATTCATTCATTTCAACCTACCTCATATTCCAATTGAGAATGAACACAAGACACTCCATTATTATGTAAATGAGACAATATAACAGCACGAGATTCTTCGGAAGTCAACTGAGGTATCTGATACACTGAACAAGTGTTTTTGTTATATTGACATGTTAATTTTTGTATGATTTCCGAATTAGAATGACATGTGAAAATAAACTGAACATTCTGATTAGAAAGAAACAGTGAACAAATAAAAGCATTGACAAAGTACTAGAAATTTCAATTCATTTTTTAAAAAAATGTTTACTGTTATGATAGGTAGTGTATGAAATCTGATACTGATACAAGATGTGCTGTGCATTAAAGCTTGCCCCTCCCAATCGACTACTTGAATGAGAACACAAGAGTGGACGAGAAGGTATATTGGCTACCAAATAAAATGCACAAATACTCATTCACATATATACATCTCTGCCCCTTAGAAAATCAACTCATCTCTTAGCCAATGATATCCATTCATCCTTCAGGTCATTTCAGATTGACATCAAGTGAACTTCGCACTTGACTGTTTTTGACTGCCTCATCGTATCACTAACAGATTAAATAGTTAGATAATAGATAAATTGATAAATTTATACCCCGACGAGTCGTCGGATATTCCTCAACAATATCTCTAGAGGCTCAGGAAACATTTTACCCTATCTGCGTTGAATAGGAGCTTCTCAGAGACATCTGGAAGTGAAGAGTCACGTGTCACATTAACTATACTTTGTACAGCATATACTATACTTAGTGTGCTTCCAGGGATTCATAGACGCCCATAAGCGTGCGTAACTCTGCAAATATCATGGTTATTCTGTACATAAACTAAACTTGGAGTAAAGCGTTCTTTTTCAACCACGATCCTTTTTTCACGTGCTCAAGTTGCCGTGTAGATCTAGCCTGGAGTTATTAGAAGCAGATGGGAAATCCGATCGAGCGTTCATTCAGCAGACTTACCAATATCATGAAATAATTGTGTGTTCATTAGTGACTAGTTTCAAGATGAATTACTAAATGCTGTAGTATGAAGTAGAGACTAATGAAACCAACCAAAAAGAGAATAGGATAGCAGCTCAAGGATAAAATTCCATGAAGTTGAAAGTGTGAAACAGATTGTACTAGAACACAATGACTCAACAATATCGTGTTCGCTGTAAAACCTAAGGACTATGATTCCGGAATTCAGTGTGCATGATGTTTTGGATGTGCGGAGTCAAATAGCTTTAAACTAGAACGTAACAAGCGTTTGTTATTCACTTGTTTTCAAAATGTTTCTACAACCTACGTCACTTCATGATTACATTTGCCAAAGTATGAAAAAATGTCGCTTCAATTTACGATGCAATACAATTCGTCTATATAATGTTACCAGTGTGTTTTTGTGTTACATACGACTTTTATTCTTGAGAAATTACACCACTGTGTGACACATGATTACTAATTTATGAATTCCAACCAACAGAGTATGGCTGGTTCAACTAGAAATCAACTAATAATCAATCATACAAAATTTACTTCGACTTAACCAAATAGAATTTGAATTAGTCTTTTGAACCATTTTACCATCTTTCACGCTGACGATGATCACATATATTAAAATTATGCTTTTCAGTTTACGGTCAACATAAACAATGTTGCCATACCTCCCACAATTTTCACTAGCTGATATGACAACAAAACCAGGTACAGTACCAATCCAATAACCTACATACTACCACCTTAGGTTAAATCATTCAGTCAAGTTTACTTGCTAATCGAAACGATTTTGAAGCGTAACGTTGAATAATGCTGTTATTAATTGTTTCAAAAGAACACTTACTTTTGGTAAGACCGGTGGTAGCCAGTCGTCTAATATCAACGGATCAAGATAGTCTACATCGTCAATTAGAAAAGCATAATTCAATCCAGGTATGCAACCCAAAAACCATATCATTTTATTAAAACAAAGTATTTTCAATCTACAACGAAAGAAACACACATACACACACGTGAAACTACATTTTACAAAATAAGTAAGTAAACAGAAATTTAGTCATTTTTAGATTTTGTCATGACTGAAAGACTTTTGGATGAATAACTGAAGTTTCTATACAAAGCTTTAGAAAAGTGGATATCAACCATGTCGAGAACGAGACAAATATTGGTAATAGTGCTTTGTTACTCATCACGTTATTTCATAAGTACACTAAAGTAAAGATTGTGGATCAATCAATCCAGGACTAAGTGATCTGGAAGTGCATTCATCGCAACGAAACCTGGAACTACTGATCTCAGTTCAATGTAACGTATCGTGAATGTGAGCTGTCGAGGAGTCGTGAACCTCAGTGGAACATCTGTCCAACGTTCTCTGGTTTTCAACGACTTCTCAGTTGACGTCAATCTGTGATGAACAATGTCTTCAACTTATTGCTCCTGGTTATATTTGAACACTTCAAAGAATAAATTGGTAACAGATAGATACTAGGTGGTAAGTTAGTAAGTGTATACCGATAAGGGGTCTTAAATTAGGTAAAAACATCTATTCAGTGCTCTTTCGCATTTCATGGTCCTCTCTATGTTATAATATCTAATAGATGTGTTGGTACCAATAGTCAGACAAGCATTTAGAAAGCTAATATCATCATGTTAAACACTATAGATAAGTGAAATAAAAAAATTACTTCAGATTATGGTGATCGTTTGCTGTATTTGTGCTATCCAAATTAACTTTGATCTTCGAAAGAAACATTTTAAGAATATTTGATGAACTGAATAAACTCTGTAATTGGGCAGCTAGACATTTGATCCAATGATCAAGCACTTTAGACAATTGTTTACATGATGGTAAACCTGTACTCGGTATACCATTTGTAAAATGAATTAAAATTTGATAATTTGCCAATGATTGACTGTTTGACATTGGTTTCCGTGTGGTACTTGTTGATCGAGCATAATCTTTCGAGCTCATCAAAGTAGAATGATGATCACTTGTAGCCAACGACATTGCTAATGCAGCCAGATGAACAGTTTTTCCACTTCCAGGACTTCCAGTAATGACTAAAATCCCTCCATTTTCGTCTTAAACACGGAAATACACACATTAAAAAGGAACAGTTAACTTTTATACATATATACGCAAGGAAAGTAGAGTTACACTGAATAGAACCTAAACATTTCCCCGGCAAAGCATTTGTCTTACTGAACTAATTTCATTAAGGTGTACTTACACGATTCCACATAATGTTCACAACCCTCTATCATGAATCTAATTACTGAGAAGCTAAACAAGTACCACTACGACGGTTTGCATATTTGTCGCCTCCTCTTTCTCCTCTGTCGTTTAGAGGATCTTGATATCTTTGCTATAAAATTCATGCATCAAATAAATTCAGAGATGAAAAGAGATTTCATATGAGCAAGACATGCTCACAAACCTTTACAGATGAATATATACAGCAGCTAATTACAGTATCAAGACTTCTTCTGCAGATTTTGTATATCCATAACTTAGGTGTTGCAATGTTGTACGTTTCTCTCTGAGGACTTTTTAGCCGTAATTAAACATATTTTATCGAATAAGACTATTATTATTAATATTATTTCATGTCAGTTGTTGCTCATCAGCAAAGCATGACAGGTAGGCCTAACCTCTGCCTACATCTACGAAAGATGTTTCCTGGTGTGCAAGTGGGTTACAAAATAAGGCGGTGAGCAAACTAAGACATGGAATATCAGTCTACAAAAAGTGAGTGACTGTTAGTCTGAACCAAGACAGTAGATCCAAACTACTTGGTTGAAGTCAACGCAATAACCACGATCAGTGAGGCTGCAGACATTGGGTGACATGGCTCACGATGGTTCATAATGGGACAGAGGTATGTACTCTTTGTCTTCCTTCGGATTATTTATTTTTAAATTATTTAGTCCCTTCCACTACTACTAAGACAACCACCACCAATCATATTATTCCTGTTCTCCTCAATCCGATCTTCTCAACCTTCTGCTGCTAGGCATTCCACTTCTGATTGCTGTTACATATTACTTATGTCGACAGACATAAATAATATACACCGCAATACTACTACTACTACTACTACTACTACTACTACTACTACTACTAATAATAATAATAATAATAATAATAATAATAATAATAATAATATTACTATTACTCTTCATAATTTCATAATATGATATATGATAACTTGGACCGCTGAACATATACTTCTGGTTCCAACTTATGTATGACTGACTAAACTAACAAAATGTTTAGGCAGGAAAAACAACATACAATACAAAAGGAATATGTAGTACCGAGACAATCCAAAACGGAAAAGAATAATCTATAGTCAAAGGACCTGTATGAGATTATTTTATTTCGTTTTGAAGGGCAATTTTTAATCTGACGATAGTAGTGACGATATTCAATCGTCAACTACGCCGAACTAGTAAAAGTTAGATTTGAATCTACAACCTGGTAGTTAAAAGATAACCAAGTAATTACTGACTCAAACACTAATCGAACACCGTGAAGCAGAAGCTAAAATTGACTGATAGAAGCAACACATATTTGTTTTTATGTTAGAAGAAAGAAACAATCACCACACAAAAAATCATAATTGACTGATTATATTCTCTTTTGATCAATAGTAGTTTCGATGTAAAAATCACATTCGATGGTTTGAAACAAAGCATAAAATGCTTCATATAAAACTAACAAACAGTCATGTGGCAACTATCAAAATAAATCAGTGCTACTGATGTTAAAATAAGGACTTTATAAAAACACTAATAAATGATGAAGGGGAAATTTTGATTATGATGTGTTCAAAGATTGAGATGTTAACTAACTTGTATCACCCTTCAAATGGTCATGTGCGGGCATGTCCAACAATACATTTGACAAATGCATACTTTCTATGGATAATAAAACCTGATTCATAAGATCAAGTAAGGCTCGTAAATGAACATTTACGTCGATTCAATCAGTAGTTTAGCCTCGACAATGCATCAAAATGAAGCAGAGGCTGAAAATGATTTGGAGCTCCATTTAATACAACGCTTTTCCGAGAGTTCTTCACAGTCTTTTCTTCGGGATTTCCGAAGCTGAACTATGAGCTCAGTGTTCATGAATAAAAATTAATTCGGGACAGTGACGGTACTTTAAGATTGCCTTTTTCATTTGAGGTTACTACCAATAAACATGAGGGGAGGAAAACCATTATCCAAAACTATGGGTCAGATTAAATTCAATTAATCATTATACGTGTTCTCTACACATAATTTGTTTAGCACTCGAGGATAAACAATGGATTACGTTTCTCTTCTTGTTCAATAACACCCGGCTCTGGAAGTTTGCATACTGACTGTTCCAAGTTGGCTTTGTGTTTATAGACCATCTGAAACACCAAAAATACCCTCAATTTTCTGCACAAACTTGGAGTAATGCGTTCTTTTCGTACTTCGTGCCTTTTCACTCATCTTCATGTTGTCGTGCAGATCTAGCGTGGGGTTATTAAAGAAGCTTAGGAAACTGACTCGAGCGTTCAGTCAGAGAACTTCTCAACGTCATATCCCAGTCAAATGTCACAGCCTGTTTTTCACGTAATTTGAGTTAAAAAAACCTCCGATTAAAACAATGAATTCCGGTTTAAGAAAAACACTAAATAATAAAGGTTACCAAAATTTAGTTGCA